AGAGAGAGAGAGAGAGAGAGAGAGAGAGAGAGAGAGAGAGAGAGAGAGAGAGAGAGAAGAAGAAGAAGAAGAAGAAGAAGAAGAAGAAGAAGAAAGTTTGTTCTTACTTAAGGGACTGATAGTTGGAGCTGACAGTTGCTGGGACAGAAGGGACATTCCCAGTCACAGCAGATCCCGAAAGCTGTACTTGTACTTGGTGCGCTGCGGAGACTGGATTTGGGTTGTGTGGCGATTTTTGACGAGCAGCAGTCTGGAAATGGTCATCGTTGACGGGGATTGCTTTGGCCTTGCCGAAGTACATCTTGTCCTTCATTAGCTTATTTTTCATTCTTTGGTAAGTGCTTCCGCTTTGGACAGGATACAAAGTGACTGGGTTCATTGTCCCACCGTTCTTGGAAGATACTCGTGCTGCTGCATTCTGACTCTTCTTGTCTTGAATCTGGTCAGCAGAAGGGAAGGAGGTCAACCTTGAGTTCGAATCTGAGTTTGGCTGTCCCAGTTTCCGCGACGATGCTTGGGAATCACGACCGGAATTTACGGTACTTGGTGGCAAGAGCCCCCTGGGCAACAACGAAGTCGAGCTCTGCACCTTCTTCGACTCCCGATTATGCTTATCGGCACTGTGTTGGGGCATCATGCCACTTGGCGTGCTGAGCGACATTGTGTCCGTGCTATCCGGACAAGCATTTACCCCACTGTCGGGAACTGCTTTGCCTGCGCGGAGGACGACGTCCATCAAGACATTCCTGTTAACATCGACGGACTGCTGTTGCGGATTGCATCTGGGAGCGCAGATGAGAGGCTTCTGGTCTGCAGGAGTTTTGGCAGCAAGAATGGTTGAGGGGCTCGGAGGGGAAGGAGGAGAAGGAGGAGGAGGAGGAAGAAGAGGAGGAGGAGGTGATCTGTGCCGAGATCCAGCTACCACTGCAGCTGCTGTGGGAAGGAGAACGACAGTAGTACTGGGTCGTGGATGGCCCTCGCCCTGCACCACATGTAGGCTGGTCACGTTCGCATGTTGTGCGTTGAATCGTGACGGAAGCCCTGGCGACGGTAGTCCTGACGCTGCTGCTCTTGTTGATGGCGTTGCCACCTGGCTGCGCAAAGACGGAAGCTGATTGTGCCTGGCGACTTCAGACAGCGGTGCTACAGGAATCGTCTTGCGAGTGTCTTCTTGGGGAACCGGCACATGTCGGACAATCCAGGGATGACTCAGCAATTGCACTGCGGTTGGGCGCCTGTCTGGGTTCTTCTGCAGGGTCTGCATGCATGCAAACATCAACAAACGGCGAAAAGGGCGAAACACCGACGCACGCAAAGAGAGAGAAACGGTCGGTAAACACTCCACTCCAGAATCCAGAATCCAGATGCATATGACAACAAAGGACAAAACACTACTAAGTAGTACTAACACGAGCGCGAGAAATGGTTTGCTTGCATACAACAACAAAGGACAACACACCAATCAACACAAGCGAGAGAAACGGTCTGTGTGCATACAACCACAAATGGCAAACACGGACACATGTGAGAGAAAACAAATACACCTGGGCTGGGTTGTGCAATTGAAATTTGAAATTTGAAATACAATCAAGATGTGGACACTGGACTTAGCCAAAAAAAAAAAAGAAAAAAAAAGAAAAAAGAAAAAGATGTGGACTTAGCAGCAAAGTAGTTCTCACAGCAAGTACATGCAGGGGATAGAATGTGTCATGTCGACCGTGTGGAGAGTAACCACCCTCTGCCCCTAGACAGTAACCATCCTTCTGCCTAGACAGATGGAGAGATTAACCGCCCTTCTGACTAGACAGGTAAAGACTAACCGCCCTTCTGCCTAGACAGGTGGAGAGATTAACCGCCCTTCTGACTAGACAGGTGGAGACTAACCACCCGTCTGCATAGACAATAACCATCCTTCCCTCTGTCTAGACCGTAACTACCGTCTTCGCCCGAATAAAAAAACACCCGGTCATTATCGCTGTATCTAGACAGAAGTTGCTCCGAATACGGCTATAATGACCAGGCGTTCTATTCGGGTAGACAGGTGGAGACTAACCACCCGTCTGCGCAGACAGTAACCACCCTTCCCTCTGTCTAGACAGTACCTAGTAACTACCGTCTTCACTCAAATAGAACGCCCGGTCATTATCGCTGTATCTAGACGGAAAGTTGCTCCGAATACAGCTATAATGACGGGCGTTCTATTCGGGTGAAGACGGTAGTAACTACCCTACCTTCTGCCTAGATAGAACATCTGGTGGATTGGGGGAGCATAGAATAGCATGAGCTGATGGGTGCGTAGAATAGCATGAGCTGATGGGTGCTATTCTATGCACCCTGGTAGAATAGCATAGCATGAGCTGCTGTCACTCAAATTCAACAGTGTTCAAGCTTTCAAAATCTTTAGCACTTATTTGTGTCTTCTTCCCTCATCTTCTATTCTAAAATAACAATAGCAACTCAGTCAGAATGTGAAACTTATTGGTGTGTGCAGTCTCACTTTGTCGCACTCAGGATGCAGATAACACCAATTGAAGCTACTGTGAACTGGCACAAACTACCGTCTTCACCCGAATAGAACACCCGGTCATTATCGCTGCATCGGGACCGAACGTTGTGCCACATACATCTATGACCGGGCGTTCTATTCGGTTGAAGACGGTAGCACAGTGTACTCTGTGGAAGTACCGACTACCTTGCAGTACTGCGTACACTAGTTCGAACTAGCGGCAGTACTCACTCGCGTTTGTGCCGTTAAATGGCATATACTGAGACTGGACTCCTGTTGCTGGTTCCACAGTAAGTTGGTACTAACTGCGGTTAAGTGGCACAAAACAGCTGCTGCCAGTGTGCGATAAGTGCCAATAGAGTACCGACCTACTGTACATTAGGTTTTCTACTAGTTTGTAGTAGTTTACAGTAGGTTGGTACTATACTGGCACTTATCGCACATTGACAGAGATGCCGAGTCCCATTTTGTGCCAATTAACCGCAGTTAGTACCGACTTACTGTGCGCTACGAAGTAGGTTGTTGGTACTATTGGCACTTATCGCACATCAACAGCTTTCCAGTCCCATTTACTAGTCCCATTTAACCGCAGTTACTCCCAACTTACTCTGATCTAGTAACCTGAGTGCATCATATCAACAAGGGTAATCTTCTTCTAAGTACTATCATCTTTCAATGATCTTTGTGCTACCAACTACTGTTTAATATACTAAGTACTATCAGCTATTATTCATGTACGAACTTACTAAGTGCTATTCACTAGTATTTAATCCGCTAGTACCCCACAGGCAAAACTCTGAGGCGCCGCTCGGCCAGACCCGCCGTCGAAAAAAAATAAAATCGGCGGCCTCCGAAGTGGTGTGGGTTGCATGCTGACACCCGTGCGCCTATATGTGGTGTACTGGTGCTTTAGTATACTACGTACCATCAACTACCGTAGTGATAATACTACTATAGTAGTATTATCACTATAGTATTATCATTAGTACACCACATATCGGCGTACTTAGATGTTCTAGTACCATCTTCTAAAAACAGAGGGCAATTGTGAAAGTATGGGAATTTCAAAGAGGAAAGGAAGGGGAGAGAGAAAGTGAGTAGCAAGAGGGAGTTGCCTTCTTCTCAGGTTAAGGATGGGTTAAGGAACGTGATTACTTAGCGCCGGGAGCAAAAACTGACCCGCTGCAAGAAGTCTTTCCACTCTGTCGAAGCGTGTGGCGGCCATGCACCGGAGAGCGGAATGTCGGCATAGAGGATGAGGTTGCGTGTGGTTGGGCCGTTTGCTGCCGCATTGAATGGGGCCTCACCCACCACAATCTCGTAGGCCAGCACACCACAGGCCCTGGAAACAGCCACCACGGCAATTATTAGGGGGAAAAAAAAAGAGAAAAAGAGAAATAGAAAAAGAAGGGAAAAAAAAAACACATTGAAGATGATTAAATCATTAAACACACTCATAAGGCCCATAACCAATTATCCAATGTTGACGAGCACAGACTGGCACTTGGAAGCTTGAGACTGTCACCTAATCACTATGCAGTGTGAGCAGTACTCGATGCTAACAATCTCTCTCTCTCTCTCTCTCTCCTGTCTCTTATACACATCTAGATGTGTATAAGAGACAGGTGTGTGTGTGTGTGTGTGTGTGTGTGTGTGTATGCGTGTGTGTGTTAAAATATCACCACAACTTCCCCTGTTCCACCCAGATGAGTAGATCCGAAGTCATAGCAACTTTTCCTGTATTGCAGACAATGAACCATTCTCAAGATGAGCCAATCCACCAATGAAACAGTTTCACTTGTGAAGTGAATATCTATTCAGAACCTTGCCTTTAAACAAGCAATGCAAGGAATCTCACCTTTACACAAGCAATGAAACACACTTCAAGTTGAGATGGGCCAACCCAACAGTAAAAACAGTGCGAGACACAATAAATTCGTTATATCGTTTTCTTGATTATATTTTCATCAGCTAGCATTGGCAGGCCTCCTCCCATTTTCTTTGTTTTTGTAGTTACCACCTTCTTACTGTGCCTATCACGTACAAGGCTGACCACGTTGATGATGGTTGAGCGCCCGCTGCCCACATCCCCGTGTGACTTTACGGCCCACTTGCAAGTTATAAAAGGAGGCAGAGTAAAAGGATAATTATATAATTTTGTCTGTTCTCTCAACGACGGTCATTCATATGCGTTTACTAGTAGTCCACAAGGAGAGGGAGCAGACAACGGGGGGGAGGAAAAAAGAAAAATAGAGAGAGCAAGAGAGAGAGAGAGAGAGAGAGAGAGAGAGAGAGAGAGAGAGAGAGAA